AAACCAAATTGCTTGAAAAAACACTGCGGAGGATGTGACTTGACTGCAAAAACGTTGGCTGATCTCTGGCACTAATAACTTTTATTTTTGGAAAAATATTTAAAAAAAACATTTTGCATAGGAGCCGGGATTCGGAGCCGGAGGCCTTTTTAAATTTTGCACGGAGCCAAGAGCCGGAGCCGGAGCTGCAAATTTGGCCTTGGCTCCGGCTCTGGGGGCTAAGAGCCGGAGCCGAAATTTTGGCAATCTCTGGTCGTAAGTACTCAAGACATCCTTCCCAGTATTTTTCAAGCAATTGGTTTAACAAGATCACAAAATTTCTTTCCAAGGCTGCTGATATTTTCCTGACGGACAGATAAATCTCGGATACCCATAGTGCAAACTCAAAATCCAACGAATTGATCATTATTTTAGCCTCAACTGCTGCGTAAATTGAAGAGAGAAAAGAGCGTCGAACTTTGACTACGTATACCGAAAAAGCTGTCTGTTTATAGGGAGGTTTTGCTGGTTCAAATGGGTCCACAACAAACCGTTTCAAATATCAGTCTGTTGGGAAAATAATGAGCGCACAGTTGCATCGAGAATTGCGACGCCGCAGAGACAATGAATTGTGTCGTGGCAAGATCAAATAGATTTTCACTGCGGCGTCGCTATTATCGCGGCAATATTGCGCTCATTATTTTCCCGACACACTGATATGCCAATAATAAATTTTAGGTCAAGATTACAAAATGTCATTCTGTCGGGAAAGCAATGTGGATTCGTCGCGCCTTGAAATCGGTTCATCATCACTAGCCAGGGCTGGATTTTTGGTGCGCGACGTAGCAAGACATATTGCTGCGACAAATCCACATTATTTTCCCGACAGACTGATATATTGTAATCTTGACCAAAAAATTTATCATTGGTATAGCAGCATGTCGGGAAAATAATGAGCACAATGTCGTTGTCGCTAAAATGAAAATCAATTCGATCTTGCCGCGATACAATTCATTTTCTCGACGGCGATGCGATTTTCGATGCGATAGAGTGCTCATTATTTTTCCGACAGACTGATATCCTTTTGTCGCGAAAATACAAGTCATTGTACAAGGGTTATAATGTCCATATTTTATGCGAAACTTTCGATTTGAATACCTCAAAAATCACTCATTTTTCCACCGCTTTCTTTCTCACTATCTTCATCTCAACTTCTCCTGATTCTTCATGTGTGTTCGGATCATCCCATTCACCTCAAAATATTGAAAAATCCCCGTCGGTGGTCTTCAAACCCCTCGAGGCTTAGACAGACTTAACGGGGAGTCTACAGTGATAAAGAATGATCAAACAATAATACGGCTTAAGACGACGAAAAACGCTCAAAATGCGAGAGGATTGATTGTGTGTGGCGGTTAAGGCGTAGGGCAAATATTGAAAAAAACGTGTGATCTATGGAATGTTTGAAGGATAAGGTTAGAATAGACGAATAAGCCGTTGAAATGGTTGAAAATTGATGGCTAAATGTGGGGAAAAGGTCAAGGATATCAGTAAAAATAGAGTCTGTAGACCAAGTTCAAGGCAAAAGTGTTACGATCAATCTGTCGGGAAAATAATGAGCAGCCTTTCGCATCGAAAATCGCAACAAAAATGAATTTTGTCGCAAAAAAATCTACTTGCTTTTCACTTTAGCGATGCGATTTTTGATGCGACATTGTGCTCATTATTTTCCCGACAGATTGATAAAACCTTTGCATAACGAATAGAGAGTCATCAAAAAATTCATTCGCTGTACAAAGGTTTCGTTGTGAGAAGGTTTTGACCCAAAATTGGCCCTTAGAACTTCCGAAATTCTCCGTTGTAGACAGGTTTTGTTATACGTGAATTTGTTATCAGTCTGTCGGGAAAATAATGAGCACTTTGTCGCAGCGAAAATCGCATCAATAATGACTTGTGTTGCGGCAAAATCGAATTCTTTTTACTTGAGCGATGCGATTTTTGACACGACAGAGGACTCACTAAATTTCCCGACTGATAGTTATCAGCACAGATGTAACGCGCAGATATCATTCATCTCTTCCGCAGTCGGGAGAGAAGGGGAGAATCGCGCCCTAGATCTGGAGTAGTGGTTTGTAGACCTCGGGAGTGGACGTGCACCCAAACTCAATAAACATTAAATGGAACAAGATATCGGCATGTTGCTGCGCTAATTAAGATGCGCTATCAGGACGAGTGGATCAACATAGTCGGCTACGGAGGATTTGAAAAGAAAAATTGTAAAAAAGACATGAAAAAAGATGAATTATACAAAGGAAATCATGAGAATAAGTACAGGGATGCTCGTACTAGGTCGGTCTAAAAGTCTTGACATATCTGGCACGACAAGAAGACATTGTCGCACTTGTCACGTCTAGATGATAAGTGCGACCAAACCGGGTGTAAAAGAAACTCTTGAACCCGTCGAAAAGTGCAGTCGCACGTCAAAACAATTCTTTCAGAAAATTGAAAAAACAAGGAATCTCGGATCATTGATTTTTTGCGAAGTGCCACAGAATTATCGAGCTTGAAAAATTATTTTCCTCTTCGAAAAAACATTTTTCTCGAAATTCTCTGGGAAAGTTTTCCTTTGTGACTCGATAATTCAGCGACATTTCGTAAAAAATCAATGATCCGAGGTTCCTTGTTTTTTCACTTTTTCTTTGACGTGAGTCGCCACTTCTGTCGCGCGACAAAACTAAAAAGCACGTATAGAGAACCAAAATTTTCATTTGTACTGTGCCGACAGACCAGACGGTGCAAGGACACATCAAAACTTGTCGATTCACTGAGTAACTATTATACATATAATATAGCAAACACACGTACTACAGAACCTGTCTACAACGAACAATTTTAGAGATTCCAATGGCCAGCGTTGCCATAAAATGAAGCTTCCCACAGCAAAGCCCTTCTATATCAGTCTGTCGGGAAAATAATAAACTCATCTTGCTGCGCCGAGCCCGTCGCTGAAGTATAATAAAAGAAAACTTATTTTCTCGGCGACAATGTGATTTTCAATGTGGCAGAGTGCCCATTATTTTTCCGACAGACTGATAACAAATAACACATATAACGGAACCTGTCTACAGCAAACAATTTCAGAGGTCCCAAGAGCTTCTTTTGAGCCAAAACTAGCTTTCTCACAACGAAACCTTTGTACAGCAAACAATTTTTTTGACGGCTTTCTATTCCTTGTGTCAGTCTGTCGGGAAAATAACGAGCCCTCTGTCACACCAAAAAATCGCATCTTGAAGTTAAAAGCAATTCGATTTTGCCGCGACACAATTCATTTTCTCGGCGGTGATGCGATTTTTGAAGCGACAGAGTGCTCATTATTTTCCCGACAGACTGATAACAAATAGCATGTATAACAAAACCTGTCTACAACGGACAATTTCGGAAGTTCTAAGGGCCAATTTTGGGTCAAAACTTTCTCACAACGAAACCTTTGTACAGCGAATGGATTTTTTGACGGCCATCTATTCGTTATGGAGAGGTTTTATAAATCAGTCGTTTCAGAGGGTCCAAGGGCTTCTTTTAAGCCAAAATTTGAACCTCCTCAAAATACAACCTTTCCATAACAAAAAAAAATTTCTGTTCACGTTCTGTTCGTTGTACTGAGGTTGTGTAAAAGGGCAAAATTTTTTAATTGCCTTAACTTTTATTGTCTAAAAGTGCATTTGCTTGTTGTTTGTTGATGCTTTCTCCTATTTCCGTTGATAAAACGGTAGTAAAATTCTGCAAACCTCATGTCAATCAAGTTTTGAAATGACAATTCGACAGATAAGATTAGAAAACACTGTAAATTTAGAGTGCAAAGTCTTTAAAATACCGAAAAATATCAATTTTTTCATTATTTTTTTTTATTTCTGGCCTTCGTATGTTACAACTTATCGTTCTATTTTTAGCTTCATAAAAAGGATTACTGTATTTTATTTGTTGTCTAGTCTTTTCGTCGGACTTGAACGTTCAGACGTCGCCTTAAAGATCGCCTTATTTTCCTCTATCTGCTTGTACTTTGAGGTAGTCATTTTCATTTTTTTGATGGGCTGATTGATAAGGATCCACAGTGATTTCGGTGGGTATAAAAGCCAGAGGGAGTGTCAGAGGTTGTTCACAGCTTCATTCTGTCTTTGAGTTCGCATGTGATTAGAGTTGTAGGGATATATGGAAAAGGGAGAAGATGATTATAGGGCAGTGACTTTAGCCGTCTTATAAGGGTAGGAAAAGCTGTGACTATAGAGTAATACACCCCTAAGATGGAGGACAGAGTTGATGAATTTGATGTCTCAGTCTGTCGGGAAAATAATGATGACAATGTCGCTGTGCCAATCATTTTGCTGAAGTGAAAAGAAATTTGATTTTGCCGCGACACAAGTCATTTTCTCGGCAGCGATGCGATTTTCAATGCGATAGAGAGCTCATTATTTTCCCGACAGAGTAATATACATACTAGGAAATGTACTGATTATAGGGTAAAAGGCATCTAACAGGGTGAATAAGGTTGATGAACGTGTTATTTATGACAGTATGGTCTATAGGAAGGAAGAAAATAAGGCTAGATAAGTGTATCAGTCTGTCGGGAAAATAGTGATTGCTCTCTCGCATCGGAAATCTCATCGCCGTCGAGAAAATGAAAGCAACATTGGGCTCACTGTCTTCCCGGAAAACTGATAATAGGCCTCTAACAACAAAAATAAGGCTTCTCAATTTGATGTATAAGGAATTCAAAAAGCTTTTAGAGTCCATAGGAAGGGGAAACATAGGGCTAGATCAATGTAAAAACAACTTATATATATATGTATCAACGGGGATATCGCAATTAGGACGCCTAGATTTTTGCTACATTTTACACACACTTTGAACCTACACATGTCTCTAAAAATTAATTTTTGATGCGATTTTCGATACGACAGAGTGCGCATTATTTTCCCGACACATGATAATTCAGTAATTATTTGCTTTCCAGGTCAAAAACTACAAAAATGGAAGCCCACCGGATCTTCTTCGAACGCCCGTTCGATTACAAATACGCCCGGGAATACAGTGGAACCCTGATGACCCCAACCTTGTGGATCACCGCCGCCTACGTGATCCTGGTTTTTGGAACCAAGGCCTACATGAAGGATCGGAAACCGTTTGATGTGAGTTTGAGATATGTTATTCGTTGTCTGTTCAACAGATTTCAGGGAATCTGAAAAATGGGGAGAAATTAAAAGAAAAAGATAGAATAACGTATTTTAAATAATTAAAAATACTATTATTGTCCTTCAAAAGACATCTCATAGTGAGGCGACCTCATTTCCGCCGATTTTACCGTTGAATTTTTGAATTCCCGCCAAATTTTTAAATCCTTGGCATTATGCAACAGCCGTCGGAAATGACTGAAAATAGATATAATTAGCGTGGAAAACGGTTTCAAAGTTGCTAGACTTGTTTTTCTTTTAATTTGGACCCTTAATTTTTAAATGTTCAAATTCCCGCCAAATTGGCAAATCTTTGGCATTATGTCACAACCTCTAAAAATGGCTAATTATTTGCATTGAAAGCATTTGGCGACTTACTGCGGTAAAAAATGACAAAAAAATTAAATCTTGCCATTTTTAAAGCAAAAAATCCCTAGAAGCGGCATTTTATGTCTAAATCAATATAATTTCAGCTCCGCCGCCCGCTCCAACTGTGGAATTTGGGCCTGGCTCTCTACAGTGGAGCTGCTTTCCTCATCGCGACTAAAGAAATTCTCTCGACCTGGTTCAACAAAGGCCTGACCGCCACTTACACTGACATCAACAGTTTTTACGAGGGAACTTGCGGCGCTTGGGCCTATTTGTTCATGATCTCCAAGTACTACGAACTCGGCGACACCGCATTCTTGGTGTTGAGAAAGCGGCCATTGCTGCTGATGCACTGGCTTCACCATTTGACGACCTTGAACTTGGTCTTGGCTGGCTATCATTACGATACGCATTTGTACAGCTGGCTGCTGTGGATGAATACCTTGTAAGTTGCGGTAAATTGAAGCCACCGGACTACAAAGGTTTTTCGCATTGAAAATTTTTATCGTTTATACTTGAAAATTACAAAAAAAAATTTTTAATTTTTGCACTGTGCAAAAAATAAAAAGTCTTAAAAATTGTAAAATACGATAAGACAATGTTATTTTTTCGTTTTCTATGTCTTATTTAATAACAGAGAGCCCATACATATCAAAAATGAATTCATTTTACCCTGTCAATGCAGTTTTTCAAGCAAATTTTTTCACTGCACAGTGCATAAAATCAAAATGCTGAAAAGAAGTGTAAAATACGTCTAGATTAATTCGCCTTGTATTAGATTTTGGAGATACTCGTCTAACAAACATTACAATTAATATTTCAAACAAAAAAAATTCCAATATTACCTGTATATTCAATTTTTTGACAAAATTTTTTACTGCACTGTGCAAAATCATAGAGCCAATGGGAATTGTAAAATACGGACAATCCTGGTGTCTCGGTAATTTGAGGATAACAGAAAGAATTTTTCTACACAATACATAGCTTTTTCCGGTCAAAATAACATAGAAATTACTGTAACAAACCAAAGTTTTTGACTGCACAGTGCAAAATCGTATAGCTGGTGGGAATTGTAAAATATGGTCAGTCCTTGTGTGCTGGTAATTTGAGGATAACAGAGAGAATTTTTCTACACAATAAATAGTTTTTTCCGGTCGAAATAACATGTAGATTACTGTAACAAACCAAAGTTTTTGACTGCACAGTGCAAAATCGTATAGCTGTAATGATAATTGTAAAATACGACGGGATGCTTTGTATCAGTAGCTTGGGACAACAAAGAGAATTTTATATGCCAGATACATAGTTTTTACCGGTCGAAATAACATATAGATTACTATAACAAATCAAAGTTTTCGACTGCACAGTCCAAATTTTCAAAAATTTTTAGCCTACATTTTTCTCCCTAAACTTTTATTTTTTTCAGTATTCACACTCTGATGTATTCCTACTACTTGCTGGCTTCCTGTGGCTACCGTCTTCCGGCCGGATTCGCCAAAAAAATCACGACCATGCAGATCATCCAGTTCTGCATTGGGCTCTCAATTCTGGCCCATATTGGGGTCCTGAAACTGTTCACCGACCGCGAAGTCCATTGCAATTGGAGAATGTGGTGGGGCACCGTGTTCATGGAGATCCTGTACCTGACGCTCTTCTCGCACTTCTACTACGTCAGCTACATTAAGGACGGGGGCAAGAAGTTTGTGAGGGATCAGAACGAAAAGAAACAAGTCAAGGCTCAGTAGAGAGGACTGGTTTTATCTTTGTTTGATTCTGTCTTCGTCGTATTTTACCCATATTTGTAGTGATTCAAGCGGTTTGTTGTATACATTCCATATATTGTAGATTTTGGAGATAAAGAAGGAGTAGAAAATGGTAATCGGGATTTTTGGAAAAATGTAAAATGTAATCGGGAATTTTGGAAAAATGTAGAAAATTGTAACTACCGAGTTCCTATTTGAAGGTTACTATAAAAGTAAATCAAAAATGTGAAACATTTCTTTCTGCGAATTTGTGCGTGTTATAGACACTGGAAATCAAATATTCGGGTTTTTGGAAACGGGATTTTGCGGAAGGGCAGAGTTGGGAGACGTGCTGGAGATCGGATATAGGATAAGTATTAGGTTGTTGAAAAAGTATTATATTAATTTTCAGGAAAAGTTATTACGTTTGGAATGTTCTAGAGGGTTCTATCATGTGACTATACAAAATACCGACGGGGAATGCTATTTTGGTTCCCCGTTGTCCAAATAAACTTGTTAAAAAAAACAAAAAAAATGGAGGGTACTTTTTTACCGACCGAAGTATACAGTGGCGGAATGGATCCAGTGGCAAAAAATGTACCATTTAGCATCGGGGAAGTATCAAAAAATGTAGCAAAATACCTCCCGCAGGTCTGACTTGCGGACTGAAGTGCCACCACGGCCTTTTTACTCTCCTCTCCTCAATATTAGGCCTACTGCTAAGCCGCTGAAATTATAAAGTCATTATAACGTAAATCTATCCTTTCTTAAGGCGTTTCACATTTTGACAAATGAAACGCGAGCTTTCGTCAAGTGCAAGAGCCAGTCGACTGATCGTCTCGTGACTATCAGTCTGTCGGGAAAATAATGCCGATTTGTCGCAGAAAATACCAAAGCAATTTCTACAGCTAGCCGCCAGAAAAACGATGATAGATAATTTCAAAGCGCAAAGAATCCACATTATTTTTTCGAAAGAGAGATATCTCCTTCTCCAGCCAGTCTTATGCAGTTATACATACGTAGACCTTTCAAACTGATTTTTTTCTCTCTGAATTTCAAACTTGTACTCTGTTGCAATCCACGTATTTTAAAAATTTCTCGAAGCGTTTTTCCAGTGATAATGTTTTGGCGCCACATTTGAAACTCTTACGTAAGATCAATGCAGATATTTTTGGCAGAAATTTATTGTGAACGCGCGCGTCTAAACTGAAGAGCTTTCTATCCTCCATTTTACAGTCAGTTTGAGAGACAGTGTGGTTTATGGAAGGTGGTTTATTAGAGACTTCGGCATGTTTGAGGATCGACTATGGATGATATAAAGTAAGTCTATTTAGTTTATTTAGCTTCTTTAGTTTGTCGGGAAAATAATGTGGATTTGTGGCGGCGATAAAAGTCTCGCCTTGCCGCTGTTTCGCGTCAAATCTCCAGCGGCGGAAAGCAGTTTTAAAAACGATGATGAGATTTTTTTAAGCCCAACAACTCCATATTATTTCCCCGACATAGTGATATTATCTATATCACATACATTCCTCAATTTGCCCTCCATCTGTTCCCCATTGGCCCTGCTTCTAAGCCTAAGTCTATTGTCTTAACAATGGCTTCCGGATCTTCGGATTCGGACGCTGCCAGACCACGGTCATTGCCTTTGGGAGACGGAGTCAGGAGAGCTCGCTGAGGAAGAGGTCTTGAAGGCTATGATGTAACATCTCATGGCAGTTCGGCTTCCGAATCTTTGAGCTCAATTCTTGAACTCTTCTAGAACAGATGGTAGAAAAAGAGTTTTCTTGAAGCTTTTGCTAGAATGTGGTATAAATTCTAGCCGGCTGAGGGAAAACAACACTTTTTTTAAAGCCTAAAAAGAAAGGTTTATTCAAAATTGGATACTTTTTGACACTTTTTCTCAAGTCCAATATTTTTTCAGATGTCTCCAAATTGCCGAAAGAAGAAGGATTGTGGAGTAATCATCAATGTATTCAAAGATGTTGATCATAGATGACTACTGTATGAATGGAATGACCGAGAAGTTCTGTTCTGAAAAGCTTCAGCTGCGGTGGATTTAACAATAACTCAACAATCGTACGACTGCCTGATGGTGAGAAATACGATTTTTGATCTACAAAAATACCATCAAGATGCGTCAGCTTTAACTTGCGCTTTTCAAAATGCGATGAACAGCCCTTCTTCTGTTTGTATGCTGCCCATTGAAGGGCACGTACAATATAGCTCTTCAATTGCTCAGCAATTGGGAGGAAATGGGATTGGAGCTACAAGATTGAACGCAGTTATTTGGTCAGCCTCTCGAAGTGGTCGAAATTTTCTCTGGACTTACTTCACTTCATTTTTTTTCACTTCATTATTGCCTTTAGAAACTGTAATAATCTCGTGATTTATTGGCTAACTTTACAGCCCACATTGAAAAATGGTTTGTGAAGATTAAGGTAAGCAAATAGACTTACTATATTAACAAGTCTTTATCAACTAAAAACATCTTTTTTTCGGGCTATCTGCACACAATCTAGACGCTGTTTCGTGTTTCCTCTTTTGGTGTACAGGGTGGGCCACTAAAACCTTCCGTCCTCTTTTTTTAGATTTCTCCGCGGAGACTCCGCCGATTTCCATGAAATTTAGGTTTTTCTGGAGCTGAGATTCGCCATTTTCAACCGATTGAATTTCAGGAAAAAATATTCTGAATTGACTTTACTATGCCTTCCCAAAGTTTTTGAAAATTATTTTCGAGCCGAAACCGCTAAAACTTTGAAAATTTTTGGAATGATTTTCAATTGCCTTTCTCGGACTTGGAAAATTTCGGGCTTTTTTGGTAAAATCGTGGAGTAAAAAGCTCCGTACGCTTTCTCTAAACTTTGTTTAAAGCAAGTTAGAAGCACAAAAAGTGTGGTCTGTATTACCGTTAGGGTATGAATGTTGGAAAAAAAATTTTTTTTTTCAACAAGAGTGAAAAAGTCCACATTAAGGCTACAAGCCATGGCTTGGCGCATTGAGGCTTGGAGCCAGGCTCGATTGAAGTTAAACCATGCCCACGATCCGCAATTCGAGCTGTTCTTAATTTTCAAAGCCCCTAGAATTTCATGCTGCAAGAGGAGGTGGACACGTCGAACTCAGATAGAAATAATAATAATCAAATTGTTAAATAAATTAGTTTTTACAACAGTATTTTGCAAATATATGAGGCAAAACGAGTAAGATTTCACCCAAAAACCCGAAAAAATGACCAAGTTTTCAAAATCATTCCAAAAATTTTCTAAGTTTTAGCGGTTTCGGCTCGCAAACAATTTTCAAAAACTTTGGAAAGGCATAGAAAGGTCAATTCAGGATATTTTAACCAAGGAATTAGTAAAAATATTAACCAAAAAATTAGCAAAAATATTCAAAATTAATCCCATCTCCATCTGTTCCCCACTGGCCATAGCTCTAAGCCTAACGTAATAGATTTTCAAATCTTGGCGACAGATCCCCTCGGGTTCTGACGCTGCCAGACTTCGGTCATTGCCTTTGGGAGATGGAGTCAGGAGAGCTCGCTGAGGAAGAGGTCTTGAAGGCTATGATGTAACATCTCATGGCAGTTCGGCTTCGGAATCTTTGAGCCCAATTCTTGAACTCTTCTAGAACAGATGGTAGAAAAAGAGTTTTCTTGAAGCTTTTGCTAGAATGTAGTATAAATTCTAGTCGGCTGAGGGAAAACGACACCTTTTTTAAAGCCTAAAAAGAAATGTTTATTCAAAATTGGATACTTTTTGATACTTTTTCTCAAGTACAACATTTTCAGATGCCCTCGGCTCCTCCAAATTGCCAAAAGAAGAAGAATTGCGGAGTAATCGTCAATTCAAACATGTTATTTGTCATGCAATGGTCTCCAATTACCAGAAGAGCGTCATTTGATATTCGAATGCTCATCTTTTCTCAATTAAATTCCCGCCTTTCCCCTTTATTCGAATATTCATGTTGAGAAAAATTTGAGCAAATAAAAAATGTCAACACTCTTTTTTCTCTGGATTTGTGCGTGATATAGACACTTGACATCAAGTATTCGAGTTCGGAAGGTATTTTTGGGAGACGGGAGTCTTGGAAAGGGCAGATTTGGGAGTCATGCTGGAGATGCGGAAGTTGTGATAAGATCGAAAATTTTCTTTAGGGATCTCTGTCTGGAACTTGCGGCGAATTTGTCGCGGCTTGGAATCGGCTTTGCGACGGCGGTTGGGGATTCGGGTTGCATCCTTTTTTCGACGAGGCGAGAGATTTTGCTGCGACGGCCCGCCGAGAGATAGATAAGAAAGATATGGTTTTGGGTAGGATTAAGATGGGGAGTACTCCAACGCTCAGATTTTCGTTAAAACTTTGCACAAATCTCGGGCATGGGCCAGATATCAATTCCGGAAAGCTTTACTGTAATTACGGTGGGGGACCTGATCCAGTGGCAAAAAACGTACCATTTTGCATCCGGGAAGCATCAAAAATGTGGCAAAATGCCTCCATCTCCAAGTCAAAAAAAAATTTGTTGAAGGCGATTTATGATTCAAATGCGGTGGGGACCTGATCCAGTGGCAAAAAACGACCATTTTGCATCCAGGAAGCATCAAAAATGTGGCAAAATGCCTCCCTCTCCAAGTCAAAAAAAAATTTTGTTGAAGGCGATTTATGATTCAAATGCAGTGGGGGACCTGATCCAGTGGCAAAAAACGTACCATTTTGCATCCGGGAAGCATCAAAAATGTGGCAAAATGCCTCCCTTTCCAAGTGAAAAAACTCCGATTTCAAAAGCGCGTCCGCTTTTTTTTGTGAGGGAAAGGACGCGCCTTCAAAATTTTTTTTTACTTCGAGAGGGAAGCATTTGACCATAGTTTTGATACTTCCCGGATGCAAAATGGTACGTTTTTTGCCACTGGATCCGATCCCCCACTGTATTGTTCTTTTTCTAAATTGCGTAGACTTTCTTGCCGTGGGCCGCAATGTCTACAAAACCCTTTTTTTGTGGCGTTTTGAATATC